GTGTGCTGGATAAAACCAGATGGAAGTGTGCAAACCTGCCTGCACACACAGGGATATATGGGAACATTGAAACAAAGTGTGCTTAGGCTGCTTCATTAACCCCTTGGAAGAGGAATTATTCTGTACCTCTGCAATGAGCAGTGATCAGGGAAGAAAACCTCAGGCTGAGCAGCTCAGGAGTGATGAGAATCCCAGGATGGGTTGGGTTGGAAAGACCTTAAAGCCCATCCAGTGCCACCCCTGCCATGGCAGGGACACCTCCCACTGTCCCAGCCTGGCCTTGGGCACTGCCAGGGATCCAGGGGCAGCCCCAGCTGCTCTGGGCACCTGTGCCAGGGCCTGCCCACCCTGCCAGGGAACAATTCCTGCCCAAAATCCCATCCAGCCCTGCCCTCTGGCACTGGGAGCCATTCCCTGTGTCTTGGCACTCCAGTTCCTGATGCAGGGTCCCTCTGTGCCTTCCCCGTGTCCCCTGCAGACCCTGGGAGGTGCTGGAAGGTCTCTGCACAGCCTCCTCCTCCCCAGGCTGCACAGCCCCAGCTCTCTCAGCCTCTCAGTCTTTGCTCCTCTCCCTCTCTCCCAGCTCTGCAACCAAAAAGCTTTTGCAGAGTCTTCTGTCCTCCTGCTTCTGCTCCAGGCTGGAGCACAAACACAACTGTGGGGATCAGCTCATCCTCAAATTGTGCCAGCAGTAATGACTTGAGGGGTTTGGGGTTTTCCTGTACCAGATATAATCTGTCTGGAGGGAAGGAATTGTTCTCTTGACAAATGCTCAGCTGCTTCTGCATCTCAAATGTTATGCTAATCGAGAGAGAAATTATCTTTTTTATTGTTTTGTTGTCATTTGTAATCTTTTAGGAAGTGGAACAACCTCAGATGGGATTCAAAATCACCCTCATTGGCTCATAGGAGTTGGACTCGATCTTTGGGGGTCCCTTCCAACTCAAAACATTCTGTCAATCTGTGAATTTATGCAGTGAATTTTGGTCTCTCGGCAGGAGCGTGGTCCTTGCTCCTGTTTTACTCCATGCAGGACATCCATCGTCCCTGAGCTCTGTGTCAGCCTGGCAGAGTGTCCAGGATGGCTCCAGCTCGGGGCAGGCAGGGACAAGCTCTGCTTGGGCTCCCAAGTAATTCCAATTATCCCTGCTCTCCAAGCCGGCAATCTCCCTGATTCACTTTTCAATTACTCTGGGTTTTATTGTGGTAATGACAGAAACCCGGGAGCAACTCTTAACTTTTATTGACTCCAAGGGGAGGAAAATGGGGACTGTGGCAAGCTGGAAACTTTCTATAGGATTTATAATTAGGGGAAATCAATGGAGCAGCTTGTGAGCCTTGGAATAATTCGCTGTGAGCAGTGAAACACAAACTGTGCCGAGGTGCTGCTGGGAGTGGGAGCTATGGAGACCACCAGGAACTGGGCAGTGCAGCTCCTGGGGGACTCCTGAAGCTGGACCATGTTGTCCCATGAGATATCTGGAAAGGAAAGAGGATCTGATCCAATGCAGCCTGTAGTTTCCTTCTTGACTTAAGATTCCTGCAGGGAATGAATCCCTTCCTCAGCTCCTTGAGTCTCCCTCACTGAAATTTCCCAAATTTGTGTCTGCCTTGCCTGCAGAGCCCCATTCCCAGGTAGTGCCCAACCTGGCCCAGGCTCTTCTGCTCTGAGCAGGAGCAGCCCAACGGGAAGGGCTTGTTCCTTGAGAGAGTTAAATGCTGGAATAGCACTTCTGATCATTTCCTATCAGCTCAGCTTTAAAACAAAAGAGTGATCCCAGGGTGGCCTTGCTGCCCTGCAGGGGGATGAGGCCAGGGACACACCTGGGACAGGGGCTGGAACCTCCAGGAGCCAGAGGCAGGAATCCCCAGGGACACACTCGGCTCTGGGGATGGGAAGTGCTGGGGCTGGGCTGCAAAGAAACCATTTCCATCCCAGAACAAACCTGGAGATGAAATTCCCTGTGCTGGTCTCAGCCCCTGGTGAGGCTGGTCCCAGCCCTTACTAGACCCAGACTAATTTTGGGGCAATGATTTAAGCAGGGGAGCTGGTCTTTGCCTGTGCCTCTCCACTTCCCAGCTGGGTTCTAATGGTTCTTAAACTGGGCTAAGAGGAATAGGCCCCCTGACAGGCACCACCTCCACAGCAAACACAGCAGGAATGTTAATCCAGGCCCCATTCAATTAACTTGAAATAGTTTAGTAAACCACGGAGAAGTGGTGGTTTGGTGTTTTCCTTTAATTAGAGAATGCTCTGTGGCTGCAGCACAAATTGACAGGCCCCAGCAGTTTCTGTGCTGTGGGTTTAGGCCTCTCCCCAGGCCGGTGCTAATCAAAGGGAATCCCTAATGAGGGCAGCACCTTCCTGCCCTTCCATGTCGGCCTGGGGGAGCCTCTGGCAAACTAAAAACATCTCATGGGGGCTAAAAGTGGGAATTCCCATTTGGCACCGACCATCCTCCCCCCAGATCTCCTGGATCCCTGCAGGATCTGAGGCGAGGCTGCCCTGAGGGTGCTGTGTGTGTGTGTCCCCCATGGGCAGGGATTCACCCCGAGCTGCTCCCCCTGGCTCAGGGAGGGCTCAGCAAAGGGATCTGGGGCAGAGCACTGCCAGGGCTGGGCCAAAACTCCAAATATTCCAAGGGGAAAGAATCCTTCTGTCTGTGCCCCACGAAACGCTCCTCCATCAGGGGAGAGCAGGGGCCTGCGCCCCAGGGGGACCCTCAGGGCACCTCTGCTGGGTCTGGGAATGCTGGAGTTCTGTTATGTCTGGGAATGCTGGAGTTCTGTTATGTCTGGGAATGCTGGAATTCTGCTGGGTCTGGGAATGCTGGAATTCTGTTATGTCTGGGAATGCTGGAGTTCTGCTGGGTCTGGGAATGCTGGAGTTCTGCTGGGTCTGGGAATGCTGGAGTTCTGTTATGTCTGGGAATGCTGGAGTTCTGTTGGGTCTGGGAATGCTGGAGTTCTGCTGGGTCTGGGAATGCTGGAGTTCTGCTGGGTCTGGGAATGCTGGAGTTCTGCTGGGTCTGGGAATGCTGGAATTCCCAATACAGGCAGCAGCAAGGCCTGACCTCTGCTGGGTGCCAGGTGAGACTTGGGCCCAGCTGCAAGGACAGCAGCCTGTGGCAGCAATGATAAACCTGATAAACCTGATAAACCTGATAATCCTGATAAACCTGATAAACACAGGGGGATTGTGGAGTGAGGGGAAGCCAAGGCAATAATAACCTCCCCTGTCTGTTTCACCAAGCAGATTGAGGCCGACCCTCGGCCTTTTCCCCATTTTTCTCGGGCTGCTGCAGATCCCTGCCTGGAGAAATGATCTTTAATCTGCTCCTGAATGGGATGAGGCAGCAGAAACCTGAGTGAGGTGAATTAATGGGCCCTGCTGCTGCTGTCTCCTGAAAACCCTCTGCCAAAGGAAACCAATTTTTTTTCTTAACTGTACAAACATTTTGAGAATGCTGGGAGAAGTGGATTAGAAGGTGAGACTTGTTCCTGAACTGCATAAAGGACATAATAATTAATAAAGGCTTTGTAAGGCAGACGCAGAGCTGCTGTGGGGGACTTGAGGCATCCTTGGCACTGCTGACAGTGGTTAACAAAAAATAATAACAATGAGGCAGAAAAGAGAGCTTCTAAT